TCAATTGCGCAACTCTGTTAAAATTAGTATGCGCTGAGGTTTAAGAAATACCATTTTGAGGTGCATCCTCACAAAGTCTTTTGAGACGAACACCTGTGCAGCTGCTGTATTATAGCCGTTGTTTTTTAGCTTATATACGAAGCCACTTTATTACGGCAGCCTGTGAGAATGCTCTAACGGACATCAAACATAGTAACAGATACCGAGATACAACCTGTTGGACATAAATTCCACGGATGCACGAGCAAAACAGCCTGGGATTAATCGTCAGTCATGTCTTGAAAACAACTAATTACTGCAATGTAGGAGTTGTAAAAGGGTTTTCGAGTGCCATTATCGATTCGTAGGGCCCTCATATCCTCTAGTAAAGATGCACTTTGAACGTCACTTCCTACCTTTGTTAGTCGCTTCTTAGAAGGCTGCTTTCATGCAGTAGGCTCATTTTTTACTGTGAATGCTGATGTATTTGAGTGGTTTGAGTTTAGATTCTAAGCTAGTGACAGACTTTTGTTACCGATTATACGGCGATAGACTAAAATATTGAAGTATTTTCCCCACTATTTATCATAGAACGTGTTGTGACGTATTACTGACACTAATTTGTGTTTTAACACGTCTTACGTTTTTATTCTCTCCGTGGCTAATCATCTCTGAGGCGACCACAAAAGGGTTAGAAAACTGAAATGGAATAACAACACGGAGAGATTTTGTTTTACTCTTCCAGTGGTCAATCAATAAATCCCTCAACTTAAACAAACACTATCAACCCCACAGGATAATGTCTTCAAGAAGGAACGGAATCTGAATTAGAAATTGTTTTGTAATGGTTACTAGAGGTTATCTGTCCTACTATTCCAAAGAACAGTGAAATTTAGTGACACGTCTCTCAGTATTGTTCTCCTCGTATCTGGTTTACTCAGATATTGTTATTTGCTTATTTGTTGTGTATACATCGACGTAAGAGGGTTAATACGGAAATTACAAAGAGATCAGAGAGTCGATAAATGAAAAGTACCCAAGTATGAAGGCTTTCTGTACAACCTGACCACCCAAAGATGTCACTGAACATGCTCTCGACGACTTCTAGATGTATCACAATGCTAGTTCTGATACTGTGGATGGTGGCTTATACTTCATACATTCACCTTCTTCAGAGCTCAAAAAAGTTCGAATATTTTATTCCTTAACGTTATGAGAGGAGATCTAGAAAGGAATCTTTCCTGGACCTTATTAGTGGGTGACTTCAAGTTTTCTATTTTTTTATCCAATGATGATAGTTCCACAATGGTAACTGATATTAAGGACTTGATTGGAAACTCAGCCTGACAGAAAATTTAACTCAGTTTACCTACTGAAAGCAGACGGACATGCCTTCAGTCTGGATCGCATTTTCAGCGAATATGCTTCTGAAGTGACCAACTTGTTAGTCTTGAACCCTTTTGAACATGTCGATTATCCCCTCACATCATTCTGATTGAACAAACATAGCTACGTCAGCGTGCGTAAATCACAGAATCTTCCTAGGAACACCCTCACCTAATCCGTTCATCGGCGAACTTCCCTCTGATTGTCTGATGGTGCCTAAGGTTCCGTGTCCACATACTGTAGACACATTATCTGTAACAACTGTCGTCGTCCCAATGACACAAATGATAAGTCATGCTACAAGGTATCACCCAACACATGTACCAAGAAGGTCAAGTAAGGTAGATTAGCCTACTAAAGTTGGAGGTCCGTATAAATCTGAACCCTCTTGACCCCAACTCACTAACTGTACACAACCCCAACAAGGTAGTTGCTAGGCCATTAGCCAATAAATTTCGATCCAGACATTTCCAGTCTGACGCACCTCTGTGTACACACTGCTGTTCTACTCATTTCCATGACTCTCTAAATATAGATATTGTAGCTTCCAAAACTAAAGTAATTATGGGGCTTTTGACCACACAAATTTAGCTGGATCTTATAGTATCCAACCCATGTTCCAATGTGTGAACTCTACATTTTTCTGTTTAAGTGTTCCTTAGTCAAGGTAAACTACCCCTCGACAGCAAAAATACCACTCATACCTTTACACAAAGAATGAGAGAAAGTGGGAGTTTATGATCTCCAACCTATTTCATTGCTATTCACAATGGCAAATGTCGGGGAAAGACGTGCCAACTAATTTTTCCATAACTTCCTCCTCAACAAATCTATTCACTCGAAGCCAAAATAAGATAACCTACGTGGTAGGGAACCCGTTAAATTACTGCAGTGAGTAGACCAATTGACTGAAACACAAAGGACCTGCCTGTATTTGTCTCCTAGACTTCTCCAAAACATTGAACGTGGTTGACTATCGTATTCCGTCTTAAAAATCGGATTATATGTGTATATGTGGATGTCTAGCAGTTTAGTCCTCAGGTTACATAAAAGGTCGGAGTTTACTCCAATCTATCAAATTAGTTTCCAATAACAAATGAATTGCCACAAAGCCTAATCTTTGGGCTTCTGATCCCATTGTTTACTAATGACCAACCTAATTCTTTGGACGCAAACTTTTCTGTGTGCAGATGATCTCAAGAACTAGAAAGGAAACGTTTGCTTAGCCAATGTTTTGACTCTCTAAAAGTATCTACACGGGATAAATAACTGCGCCGTCACAAACCTTGCTTCCCTCAATACCATTAAGTGCAGAATGGCAATGGTGAACGGCGGCGATACTCCACCCATTATATACTGCTTGATAGATTCCGAAATCGCATTTTGCACCGGTGAAAATGAACTGGGCTTGCCTCATTAGTATAATTCAGATGTTTCCTCTGATTAAAATTATTGAGTCAGCAAATCATAATAGCTCTTGGGCATTAATTCTCGATTATTTCCTTGAAAGTAGTGCATGAATAACCCCGAAGAACATTTAAGCCAGCAAGAAAATAGTTTCTGATCCTTAAACGATATAAAATAAAAGCAATAGATTTGTATTTGTCGGACATTTATAACATGGGTTATTAGGCTTTTCATCACAAGCTGACACCATCTATATTGCAAAGATGAAATCCTAGCGGAGACCTGATTAGTTCATTCACGCTCTACGCTTCTGGTATCACTTCATTTGCTAGCCTAATTGTTTTCTTCACTCACAGAAGAAATATAGGAGTGGTAATTACCCCTTGTAACCAAGAGCACTATCTCAAAGAACAGACAGCTAGTTAATGTAGTCAAGAAAAGTTTAAGTTGAAGACTGAATATTAGAGGTTGATTTGCGCCGTCAAGGTCGTTTGATTTATTGATGTGGTTTCCCACTGCAATGTTCTCTTCAAAAAAGGTTTTGTAACTAATGAGATTTCAGTGATTGAGATCTGTGGGACACATTTTTTTACTGAACGTTACCCCCACGTACAAGCCCTCTATGCAATAGCATGAGGGTTGCAAAACAGTGTGAAGAATGAGAACTATGATTTGCAGTTGGTTAGTGTTAGGAATTAGATCTAGGGTTTTCATCACAAGCTGATGTAATCTAAAATGTCAAAGCTTTATTTAGCCAAACGGATGAATCAATGTCGCACGAAAATCCGAGTCTTGTTATCTTATTTCTAATTGGTTCGTCCATAAATTATAGTCTCATCGCATTAAATGCGCTCTTCATAAGCTAAATCTAAAAAAATCGATGTTCTTTCGGAAAGCAGACATTTTCGGAATCATGCTATTCCACTCCCTCCTTTCTATGCTGTTCCACTGTCTTTCAAAGATCAAAATGCTGGTTCATTTTTGGTACATCACTTACTGTTCGTCAGTACTGGAGAAAGTTGAAGAACTGTTTTACGTCTTTATAATCAAAAATTTTGGTGCACTCAGAAATAGGGAAGATTTTCGTTTCAACAATCACTTCCGTGCACCGGTTAGTTAAGTGAACAGGTAAAACTCCCATAAATGACCGATTTATTTTTCATTTGAGCCTCATTGCAGGAAGTCAAATCATAAAGGCCATACATTACACTTTCTCGACTGCTCATTCAAAGGAAAATTTCGGAGATACTGCGTTGGACACATTAAGAAAACAAAATCGACAGTATTTTCAGTATAACACCAACGATTCAGAAAAAGTTATGGGACATATGTACTAGTTCTTTGTGGTTTCCTCTTACCTATTACGCGGACCTATTAAACCTGACTTTCGAGCTCCTACGGGGTCTAAAAAACTAGACAACTCATTGGGTGGTGCTTTCAGGGCGTTTGTTTTCGAATGCTAATAACCTACTAATATATTCAGTCCTCGAAGACTACATGTTACTGCCATAAATTAGCATAAAACAAACTGCTGATCATTAAGATTTTTTAGGATTTTCCGTGTGTTCTAATTTACAGTTCGATAGTGAATTCAAAAAGACTTTCTTACGGACTGTAATGTTTTGGATGTCTTAACAGGTATGATAAAACACTCAAAGTATGTCGCAACTTGCACTTGACATTTAGAAGTTGACTCCGATCCGGATATAAATAATGTATGTTTTAGTTGATTTTATCGTTCCTCCCTGGAGCGATACATTGGATACTGTTGGTGATTAACGTATTGACATTTCCTTCATATCAAAGTAAACCAGCCTAAATACAACTAAAGATTTAAGGAGTATTTGGGACTATCATTTTAGTGGCTAAGAATTGTTGTTAGGTGATACTTTTCGTGACTGTGCTGGATATTATGGTTTTTGTTTGTTATGTGATCTGAAGAATTGTTTCAAAACCTGTCACGCAATTGCTTCAAGCATTTGTAAAGAACACTTCTTACCTTGCTCTTTCGTATGGTACTCGTATTTTTGCTATCTTTTCTATTTCTACATCTAACGTCATACAACATTTGGCTCTACCTAGATTGTTTGATTAATCTAAACGACCCCACCATAATCAGCAAAGCGAATCAATGTAGGGGGCTTTAGGTCACTATTGTATGGTAGGATATATTTTACTTTCTCTTTGTAGTTTCCAAACTTACCTCCTTTTGTTGTTTTCATAATAGGATGGATGTTCATTGTGACATGAATCAAGAAGTCGATTCCAATTATCCAAATTCGTACTCTAAAGAAGTTGAGGACGCGCTTTCCCGGCTTAATTTAAAATCAGACACTTTAGACGATCCTGATTTTAATGTTATTTCTTATATTAATGAGGTTAACTTACTACAAAATGCTTATGACATATTTTTTAGAGATTTCCCAGCGAACAGTCACTGGCAAATATAGATGAGTTGATAGCTGAAGCGGAAGGAAAAATTCGCGAACTAGACGATGAAACTAGAGACCTACTACGTGGTCGCTGGCAAACAGAGGACAAAGGACAAGAAATTGTTCAGGATGCAAAGAATATGATAAAAGTACTATTCTCTAGGTTGGTTTGTATTTATGTTGGTGTGTAGCTTGCAGATAAATTCATATTTAAGTAAATACCTTCATAATCATTAGCTCGTTTACCAAGTGGTTGTTTGCGTACCATACTTTGAACCACGTAGTGTGAATACGGGTGATACTACTTGCCTCACGTATCCAAACTGATGACTGAAAGTCAAGTGTTAAAACTACCAATCCATCACTGTTATGATATTCAACATTAAATTTCTTCCTCGATGTTCTATACATCAATTCATCCTTCCACTTATATATAAGGGGTTTTTATGAGTATCGTACCTCGTGATGACTTTCCTAACTAGTGTTACTTGACGTTTAATAAAAAAATTCACAAATTTCTATAATTGTTTGTGTATTTGAAATAACTTATTTGACATGTTGAACTGTTCTGAATACGTGAAAATGAGTGATTTAATGCCATAGTTACCTGAATCAGGTAAAATCTGTGTTTTCAAGTAATATTGGTATGACACAAGTTTGATACCGCAGTGCTGCCATTAGGTGACTCGTTTTGCATGCAAGTTTGTTCTTTCTTATTAATGAAGCTTTCAGTTCTGTCTACATTTCATATGAAATGTACCTATTATGTTACATATCAAACAGACCCTAAGTAATGTAATTAAGTTATTGAAGTTAAAACCACACGGTTTGACTCTCAAGTACTAGCTACTATTATACTACAAAAATGTAGTGCGAAAGATCGACTGGTGGGGGGCAGGATTGGTCTTATCATCATCCTTTGCCTTTAAATAGTATTACGCTTTTTATCAAAACTAATTTAGATTCTTTGAGTCAAAATATACTCAGCCAGTGTTTGTCAAACAACAATTTTCGTCGGAAGTTTACTAATATTTTCAAAATTTCATATTGGAGTAAACTAGTTACTTTCGGGACACAACTATCTAGGGATTACGCTTAACCTCCTGAATTTACCATAGTTTGATCTGTTTACTTGCAACACTTCAGGTTTGACGGAATTCCATAGTGAGCTTTTTAATTGCACGGTGATAAAATAGATACATAACTCTCTTCTAATCATTTACTCATCGATTTGCTTAAGTATGGTGTGTGATTTTTACCAAATATGTTTATTACAGACTAATTTCGTATCTAGGTAGTTCCTTGCATATATTCACCAGGAGTTCTACGTGATTGCTCTCAAAGTTCGATGTATTTTACTGATCCTAGTAATGGTGGAGTAAATATAGTCAGTTTACAAAACTGGTTTGTTTGCCCCCTATATTTTTCCATATTGAACACTATTAGTTGGCAAAATGAGTGTTTTAAAGAGGCAGAGAATAGATTGTCTAATAGTATCATAGCGTGGAAAAAAATCATCATTTCACTACTTCAGTAGTAGTCTGTGACTTCAAATCTCTGCGAAGTTTTCATGAGTTATGTGACTCATTTCTAAATGTTAAGGTTGTTTTAAACAAGGTACTAAACTAACGTGATTTTATGTAGTACAATGAGTATTCCAGCCGTCAACTCAAGTAGATATCCACCATATGGTAATATATGCATTTACTCCATACGGTAAAAATGGACTTTTAGCGTTATATCTTTTGGTTTTAAACCGAACGCCAATAACTTTATATTTACTGAGTTTCAGACACATCTTCAGGATCATTATTTTTACTAATATGTTTACCAATATACTGACGATGTATCATAACAATTCTAACAATCACCTTTTTATAATTCATTGTCAAGTTTTTATTAGAGTTGTTGTAATTAAATGACTTAGCGCTCTGCGTTTAATCATTGAAGCCGCAAATCATAAATTCTTCTGAATTCTGGTATGTTATTATTCTGAAATGTTTTAAGAGTCGAAAAAAACATCATTGTATCTTGTGTACTTTTATCCTTAGTTTCTTAGTTATTACTATTTGAAAAATATGTCATGAAAATAATCAAAATGTGATTTCTTTCATTGTTACGTTATTTTAATAACTTAACAGAGGAAAGGACAGAGCAGTAATATTGTCGCTAATATCACTACTACTTTTTATTGTTCTACTCTATTTGTCTTTAAGCAGAATTTTCAGTAAAAAAGTCATTGTGCACTTCATCTTATAGAATACAGGATGTTCAAGATCGAGCTACTAGATCAGAAGAAATGGTACAAGACATCACTCGGGATATACAGCAGCTTGATCAAGCTAAGCGTAACCTAACTGTTTCCATAACTGCCCTCAATAATTTAATTCTTATCGTGAACACCATTGATCGTCTGAACGAATTACTTGGAATACAAAGTTCAGTGAATGATCCAATGTTTTTTGCGAAGAGCAATCACACAAATGCCAGTGCCCAGAATCCATTTTTAGAAGTTGACTCTGGTAATTTTGTTGCACTTCAATTTTACTAACTATTCTGGCAGGAATATTGTTTTCTCGTTATATATATATAGCTAGTCAGCCAATCAGTGTATCGGTCCAAGTTGCCATGTCCCATTAGCACAGCGATATGAAATTGTCAGACTAAATCTCAGATTAGTAGAGGTAGTAACAGTATTAGTCGTAATAGAAAAGATTGGGCACCGAATATACAATTCAAGAAAATTTAAATTAGCGAAATAAAAAAATTATGAGGAATTCATCAGCTTACAAGCTGTGGTAAAACAAAGAGTGGATGGACCTGCGGCATTGCAAACGATTTTGAGATAGGTCATTCGAAGTCTCTGACCACTGACTGCGATAATCACGCGAAGCCTAGCTAGGTAGTCTATACCTGTTTTCATGGCTCAGTCAAATCTTCGATGGCTTCATGGACTGGTGCCGTGTTTTGGTTTGGCCATCCTTAGCTCTTTTCCAGCATAATCTTACACCAGACAACATCTCTCATCAAGGTGAGGGGTGGTTGGGACATGTGTCACGTGTGCCCAACCACATCAGATGATGAAGATTCACTACCTCGTCAATCGATTGGCCATCCTTACCTGATAATTTATTCCTAACTCCAGACATCGCTTATTCGGTAATCCCAAGATACATGAACAATGCTTCGAAGACACCTATGATCGAATACTAGTAACCTACGAATATCCTTTATTCTTAATAGTTATGTTTCACACACTTGAAATAGAACAAGACGAACTGTTGTGCAGTAAGTTCGTCCTTTGGTTGGCAAGCTGATATCTCCCCTACACCACAAGTGACAGGAGTTGACAAAATGCAGTCGGGCTTTCTTAATTTGTAACGAGACTTCGGCAGACACCAGTCGATAAAGACTAATGAAACACCTAAGATAAATGAATTAGTCGACACACTCGATTACGTCGCTCTTTACCATTGATTGGGGTGCTGACGCGAACGGATCCCGAAGCAACATTTTGCATTTGGAGGGAAGGAGTCTCACTCCAAACATCCTTTCATTGTTGCTTAAAGTGTTCAGGAGACTCTGAATCTTATCAGAGTCTTAAACGAACATAGTTACATTATCTGCTTATTCAAAGTCAACGAGTGAATCTCTCAATAGATCAACCCTTGAAAAGTCAGACAATGAGAGCGTTATATCTTAACGAATATATATGACAAAGACAAATAAACATGGAAGAATCAGACAACCCTGACAAACACCACTTGAAGTTATAAATTTCAATAACAGGTCGCTTTATTGATGTAAGGTTTAGCAATGCATAAGTTTGCTATTTTATATAAATCGATCAGCAAAATAGTCTGTTTACTTTTGTGCATAAGGAGGGAGCGATTTCATAATAAAATAGTGAAACCTACGCAAAACAGCCGTCATATTGACTTAGATAGTTTGTTAGAGCCCAACAAAACGTTGCATAAACACGCCATGGTAGACTGGCATCGGATGCAAAACGATAATACGTTAATTTACATAAATCATTTGAAAGGAATGAATTGCCTGAAAGTTGCTTCGAACTTCTTAGTGGAGTTTGAAGATGTCCAGCGGATGACATCGTACTTGTATATGAGCTGTCAGGAACTGGACAGTTTACTGACTGTTTGTACTGAGTGGAGAGCAAACCAACAGACCTCAAATGCTTTTCAACTGCCTTAAAAAACGGAACAATGCAGTATGAAGAAGTGGTTAAGATGATTACCAAGTAACAAATGTGTTTAAGCCATCCACGTGTTTTGAGAAAGTATTAAAACACCTAAAATTAATTCTCATGCGTACCGTTTCACAGGACATCAGCTTGAACTCTTCATAAGGCGAATTTCGGTTAACAAGGTATTATTATTTCCCATCATATGATACATTTGATTCACACAACAGTACAAAGACCATTAATTACGTATTGAGCTGGATTACGATTGCTTAGCAATAAGATTAACGTCAGTTTCTTGATTAACGAGATTTTTATGACAAAAGCTTTTCCTTGATAATAGCTGTGAGATGGGTGTTATTCCTATAATGCTAAAAGTCAACAAGTGAGTCTCTCAATAGATCAACTCTTGAAACGTCAGACAATGAGAGCGTTCTTTCTTAATGGATATCTATGACAAAGTCAAATAAATATGAGAAATGTTTTTGATAAAGATCATGAACCGATCAATGGTTTGTCATACCGTCGAAGGATATTTCTTCTTGTGGGACCTGAAAAGGAAGCTGAGTTAGTGGTGGTCTTAATGACCTCGAAGAGCGAGCGCAGACATCAATGTACAACTGCCTGAGGTCGGTCGTGCTCTACATTTTTGTGGCCCCCATATGCCCTGGTACGGCCGAGGGTGGGGAGAGTTCTCTCTCCCTCTCGAAATGCTCTCACATGGCCACGCGTATATAGCTTCCGCCAGGGCAGTCCTACTCACTGCCTTCTCGTGGCGGGGGTATTGTTCACGAAATTGAAAGGACGAAAAGCGAATGTCCGGCGCTTTAACCGGGCTGGTGGACACCGTGAGTTCACCTAGGGGAGTTGGTAAACCCTGATTCCAAACCAGTAGTGCACATGGGCTCCAGTATCATAAAGGAACAAATGGCGTATGAACCAATCGTTGGTCACCGGCTACCATGGGACTGTATCTCTTGACGTTGGTTCACTGCCTTGTCAGTCAGACGTTTAGGTCAAAGGCTCGTGGTGTGGCCCCCTAAGAAAACCACCAGCTTCGGTCTGGACACCCGGAAAGTATCGCAGCTCACACACAAATAAAATGAAATGACGCTTTTTGTGGGTAGTTTTTGATATGTTAGCTCCGCAATTTAAAAGGCCTTACTACCGGAGATGAACATTCGTGGCGAGATGACATCGCCACAGATACTGGTTGTTTGAGGGAAAACCCTTGCCGTTGTCGCACTCGAACCTTAAGTTACTACCTTCAACCGACCTGCACTGCATGGTGGAACTTGAAGGAACATGTGTTCCTGCTAATAAATCTTAGTTGATTCATCATTATAGGCAAACCTAACCATTAAATCAAGGTACCAGCTGCGGTCAGGATATTTGTATATATATTTATTCATGCTACAAGAAAAATCTTTATACGAAATCCTTCATATAAATTCATCGGTGCTTTATTTCTAATTAGTAAACTATGTCTGTATTTCATGGATAGATCATTTCCTCCAAAGTTTAGGTGGTATTATACACTGGTTTAAGCCCACCAGAATCATTGTTAACATATTTATAGAAGTGACCGCTATCTGATTTAGATAGATAATATTTAGGATCGCTTCTGTGGAAGAAGAGTGGGTTTGATATGGATAGATAATAGTTTTTAATTGCGAATACCTTCCTCCTATATAGAATGCTAACTGATCCGTTTACTGGAATGAGTCTGGAACTAAGAACATAGAGTATGTACCCATTCTTTGTATAAAATTACTTAGAAATTTCAAACCTGATGTTCAGTTATCAAGTTCGCTTTCACTTCAACCATTTGTTTGTTAGTAGCTTTAGCTGTTACCCTGAAAGTAGTCATATTTGTGACGAATTTATTTATCTAGTTTCTGAGCCCTAATATTTTTACGACGTAACTAGAGTCCAACCACATATTCTCATTAAAATGATTTTTCCAATTTTAAATAAGAATCCTGGATGAATGAAAACCATCCACCTGAAAAAACAAAGTCTCAAAGATTTGTACCGTCCTTTTTGGCCGAAATATCAAATTTATTAGCTCAAGTTCAACGCTTATTACAACCTATGCTGTCAGCCTATGGTTCAGTGTCATCTGTGGCCGGATTATCTCGAGAATTGGATTCCATTCATTCAGTCCTTGCAGATCGTTTGACTAAGGAACTCAAACTGTTACTAGCAGTATGTAGATATACTTCCAAATCGTTATTTTTTGTTCTTTTTTAATGAAAAAGTGTTGTAAGAAATATATAGACGTTCTGAGTTGAACCAGTTTATGTTAGGATCCATATTTTTTATGAAATGCTATATAACAAAATGCATCTTTGTGTGCTGAAACTTTTTGATAGTCATTTTGTACTGGTCGTTTTTATGGAATTATATTGTTCAGTCAATATTCTTGTAATAATGTGACACATTTACGAAGTTTTATGAGGGCTGGCGATACTACATTAATACTCAAATAGTAGTGTTGCGTGTTTAGAATATGCAAGCCGTGCTTTAACCGCCGCGCCATTGCTCTGTTCACATACTCATGAGCTTTCTATTGTCTAGACTTGTCGGAAGGTTCCTTTTTCACTGTATACACTGCATTTCTCAGGTTGAATTCATCTATCAAACATTACTCAAGTAAAACAATCAATATCTAAGCTTATAGAAACGCATTTTTCTCCTTTTTTTTTAGCTAACTCAAAGATATTCGTTTAAATAGTGCTATTAATCTCAAATCCTTAGTTTTCCTAACAATACTCAGTGCTTAAGTTCTAAATGAAAATACAGAATCCATACTTCCACTTATTAACTACTGTATACCTAAACAACCGAAATTAGTTCATTTTGTACAGTTCGGGTTGACTAGTGAGCTATATTTTTCTGATAATTCTTTGACCTTATTAGGTACTCTTTTTTGTAATTGTTTACATTATTGTCCTCTCAGTTAGGAAGATTAGATTTTTTACCGAATATCCAAACTTCTGTAACGAATTCCTCACTGCGGGCTGGTTATGGGTACTTTTATTTGTCATTCTTTTATACTACAACCAGTAGGATATGATTTTCTGTGAATTATACGTATATATCGTTGCGATAATTTAGAATGGGGTTTACAAATCAGTATTAATTTTGAAACAGTCATACGTTTCTTAAAGTTTACATTTTCAGTCTGGTCTACGTTTCTCATGAGTTTGACAAATAGTTTTGCGAAAATCTCTAATGTATTTCACGTTAAATTTACCTATCAGAGTCAACTGGATTCATAGAAACTTAGTTGCTGACTCTTTGAAATTACCTCTTTATTTCTGTGTTTTTATCAAATAACTTGATGCAGCTAAAGTCATGATTTCTATAGCAAATGTACTTATCATCCTGCTCTTATATATGTTAACATAAATTTATCCTTTTATCGACCTACATCTTTTTATATATGTAATCTCCTATATTGGTAACCAGTTTGCTAACTCATTTCTCTTTGTTTTCCTAATACTAGGCTACTCGAACAGTTACAGATAACAAGGAACTGATTTTATCAGCCTGTGAACTAGTTGACTTACTCCCTAAGAGTTTTCATCTCGATTCGGATATTGTAAATTGGTTTATCTCTCATCATCTGACTGAGTATAAGGAGCTATTCGATCCAACACAGACTACTGCTTGGTTGGATAAAATTGATCAGCGATACAACTGGTTAAGAACCAATTTGGTCCCCTTAGAACGTTTATTTATTTCAGTGTTTCCTCCCTCTTGGCTGGTGACTGAAAGGTAAGTTAAAATATATAGTCACCTTAGGATTAATGTAGTACTTTATCAATGGTTATCTAAATTTATTTCATTAAGCTTGGTAGCATAGATGTATGTTGGTATCATTACCAAGGTTTGACTTGACGATTTCGAATAAACTGCGCATTAGCTAGGTCTCAGTAATAAGAGTAATGATAGATTTGTAATAATTCAGTGAGTAGAGAATTAAATGTCCGACGTTTCGTGACTAAGGTGAAGTCGCTTGTTCAGAGAGTAAGTAAATAAATATATTACATTTACGCAAGTTTAAATAGCACAAAGGAACTACAAAAATGTTTCCTACGATCAAAAACGTCAGAAATTTAATTTTCTATTCATTGTGTTATTACGAATATATTACCATTTTTACAATATATGTATGTAATTCCTCAAAATGATTATCGAGGTTTAAAACAAAATCAAAGTCAGACTTCAATATTATGAGTTCCGAGCAATGGGCCACTTTTAAAATCATCACTGAAATCCAATCTTCCTGATAGTCATGCTAGAATAAGTTGAAAGATAGTCGTTGAGAAAAGGTTAAGCTAAGTGGATTATTTAATATACTATAACAATTTGTGCTCTACCATTAGGAGACTTTCACTGAAATTTTGGTAAACAACAAATTTTAATTAGGGAAACAAGGTTCTGAAAACAAAGTTCATAGCATTAGATATTAACTACATATGTTAAACCCTTTATCTAGATGTAAGTTACCACCATTACAGGATTTATTTTGCGGTTGTTTTTCGGTAAGGTCAAAAATCACTTCTGTTCTTTTTCATGGTTGCGATGTTGCGATGTTCAGTGGTATAGGAGTAGATTGGAAGAAAGCTAGGGGCGGCCAGACCAAAACATGGCACAAGTCCATGAAGTCACTGACAAGTGGTCTGAGTCATGTTGATAGGTATAGACTACCTGGTTGGGGACCGCGAGATGATAGCAACCGATGGTTAGAGACCCTGAATGACATGGCTCAAAATCGTTTGCAATGGCGCAGGTGCATCCACTCTTTGTGTTCTCCCAAATTCTAATCTTCTGAATTCTTCATGTCCCTTTTTTCCTCTTTCCAAATTTATTTCACTGAATTATACTCTCCAAACCCTAATCTTCCCGATCACTGCTTACACTCTTGCTATCTCTACCACTACGGGATTTGGATCGACAACTGCATCTCTGTGTTAAGGTGGTGTGGCAACTCGAACTGATGTACGTACGTACAAAGTTCTACGTTGTTTCTGACTGAACTGACTGACATGGTTGCTGCACCAGGTAAGTTACCCCGCTTTGCCATTTGGAAGGTGGAAAAGTACAGTTGGTATTTTTAAATTTTGGTTATCATAAAACTTCTGAAAAGGGTGGGCGCCATATTGTTAGCTGTACACTTTAATTAATAACTTAACTACTGGTGACTTTTTACTAATCTATATTCAATCACATTAGTGTAACTAGTGTAACATTATATATTCCACTAGGCTTGATCAACATCTACTGAACAAGTCCAAAAAATAACTATTTAATTGGCTTGGGATTAAAGTGCACAGTATTTGATGTTGAATGATCAGGTGGTATCATCAAGCGGCTGTAGAGTTAGGTTTCAAGCCTGTCGGTGTTAATCAGAGAGGTCTATCTAGGGCCTCGATGAAATTCATATTCTTTTAAATTTAAGTCTGTATCATTTCTCTAGATAATTATACTCCCATGATCACCAAACTATTGTCCTAAAGTACATTTCTATATATTTTTAACCTATCTTCATTTTAACGCCGTATATTTATACATTTTCTCACAAAACAAATATACATAAGGATATACTTAACACGGCCTACACAAATTGTATTTCCACGTTAACTATGATTGATACCTAAGTTTGAAAACTTGTTTATTGCCATACATACTGTGCTCATTCAACTATTCCCGAAAACTCTTCATAATGATTTATGTTAACTATTTAGATTTGTTTTGGAGTTTTGTCATATTACACGTGGTGGCTTAGAAACTGTTATGAAACGACGTCAGTCGGAACTTACCCATAATCTAATTGTTTTCGCATTGCAACGCACCTTATCCTTCGAGGCCAGTTTGAATAAAGCATATACGTCTGAAGCGCTAGAAGAATTACAATCTTTGATGGTTAGCGGTAAGAGTATGGAGCGTTCATCTAATCCATTTGATGATAATGAGGATGAGGAAGATGGTTTGGATGATCCACAATCTAAAAATTCTGCAGAGGCTAAGGATGATTCATCAACAAATGATTCTCAACACAATTGGAAAAAGCAGATTTTTGATGGAATTATATCTAGGTAAGTAAGTATAAATCTTATTAGTCCATAACTTTGTATAGTTAAATACTGTTCAGGTTACTGGAGAAATCCTCAAAATATTGACTCGTCGAATATTTAACTTTAATTCATTGAGTGAAATAAATGTACGGTATTGTTTTAGCCTCGTTTCAGCGTTGGTATGATGTATATTTGTAGGATTTTCCATATCATTACTTTATGAGTGTCATTTTACTAGTTATAGGTTGAGATTATATAATGACCATCATGTGTTAAGAAGCTCGAATTCCTAGTTTATAAGATCAACGTTTTCAGAACTGTTAAAGTGAATCATTGAATATTTCCATGGTAAGTGAAGTTAAGAGTCTCTCTCCAACAAACTGGTTGCTAGGTGGGTATTTAGTTTCACTTCATTTTCGGTGGGTACATTCGTTATAAATAACTCACTGGCTTTCATATAAGTGTGAACATAAACACTTTAAGTGTTGTGGTGTTAATGGATCTAGAACTATTTAGAAGCACGTTGCCACCATTTTCAAAGCGCTACAGTTGAACCACCACTTTAATGAGAAAAAAACACACGTATACACTGTGATATTCAACATGGATATTCAAGTGCCTAGTTGGTACTATAATGTTGTAAATGGTTGTGCAAAAGAACTCATCGGCAAAATCAATTATGCGTTATATTTGTAACTTAAGAGTTGATAATATCTATAATGAGAAAAAGTGGGTTGTTTTCTTTTTCTAGTATTTATTTAAAATGAACACTTTGTCTTCAAAGTACATTGATATCTTTTTATAAATACCTGATTGAATGAGTTTGCCTTATAACATTTAGTAATTTGGTACCACTAATAAGCCAATGTTTAATCTCTTATTTAAACACAAGACGAAATTAGTAAATTCAAACCAACATTAATCACTTAATCATGTGCACTGGTTGACGTTTTTCCTCTGTTATTACATCAACCATAATATTGTACATTATTACCTATCCTTTAATAGTTTATTAGTGTTGTTGAAGGACTAACCAGTCAGTTTTATTTCAGAAAACAACATCTTGGGGTTGTGATTGTCATTGTGTCTGAGTTTATTTCCGCTCAATGATGTATTGTAATCCTGAGGGTTGCATAATATAGATAATATTGTCCCACTATGTATTTTTTTGCCTAATCACCTTATGCATTTCTTTCCTTCCTTTTTTCTTTTTCGCCATCTTTTCTACTTCTCCTCTGCATCATTCTTTTTGTCATCATTATTATTGTCAGAAAGAAGTTACGGAAGTTGTTGAATCTCATAGGAATCACGGGCCAATGGAACTTAAACCACCATTGAAAACCTTGAAGCACTGGACGGTCGTCTCGTCCTAGCATGGGACTCCATCAGTGAGCATCCACGACCCCTCATGCGAGAACCGAACCCAGAACCTCTGGTCTCGCGCGCGAACGTTAGATGTTGGAGGTTTGTGTGTGAGATCGAAGGTCCTGGGTTCGACTTTCGCGTGCGTAGTCGTGGATGCTCACTGCTCGGGAGTCCCATGCTAGGACGAGACGACAATTCAGTGCTTCCAGTTTTTCAACGGTGGTCTAACTTCCACTGGTTCGTGATTTCAATAAGATTCAACAATCTCCCTAACTGCTTTGTGACAGTAATAATAATGACAAAAAGAATGATGTACGAAGATTTCATGTCAGTTCTGTATGAATTATTATTCATAATTATTTTCAGCTGTTTCGACCAATTCTTTGATCTCTATTTGGTTCATTTGGATAAAGGTCTGAGAGAACAAATGACAAATCGTTTGATTGGTGATTTCACTGTTAATAAATCAAGTTTTGAAAACAGGGATCTTGGAGATGTATTCAGAGATGGTAACATGTTACAAATTGGTGAAATATTACTCATATTTATCTATTTTATTATAAAGTTGTATGGATAGTTTTTTTGAAATGCTTGCACGTTCTCTGCAACTTAATTTCGAAATTTTCACTTCAGAAGGTAGATCATAGTATGTCTATCGAAGATAGAGCATTTTTTCCCGTATCTGTGTACATAGTTAAATGCTTCCGAATGCCCTAGTACGGCCGAGGGTGGCAGTCCTACTCACTGCCTTCTCGTGGCGGGGGTATTGTTCACGAAATTGAAAGGACGAAAAGCGAATGTCCGGCGCTTTAACCGGGCTGGTGGACACCGTGAGTTCACCTAGGGGAGTTGGTAAACCCTGATTCCAAACCAGTAGTGCACATGGGCTCCAGTATCATAAAGGAACAAATGGCGTATGAACCAATCGTTGGTCACCGGCTACCATGGGACTGTATCTCCTGACGTTGGTTCACTGCCTTGTCAGTCAGACGTTTAGGTCAAAGGCTCGTGGTGTGGCCCCCTAAGAAAACCACCAGCTTCGGTCTGGACACCCGGAAAGTATCTGTGTGGCGCATATGTATTTGGTGCCTCCTTGTTACTTACTTACGCCTGTTACTCCTCGTGAAGGAACATAGGTCGCTCACCAGCATTCGCCATCCAACCTTGTCCTGGACAATCCTTTACAGCTCTCTCCAGTTGTTATTCATCTTTTTCATGTCTGCTTCTATTTCCCGACGTAATGTGTTCTTTGGCCTTCCTCTTTTCCGCTTCCCTTCAGGATTCCAAGTTAGGGCTTGTCTCGTGATGCAGTTTGACGATTTGCGTAATATATGTCCTATCCATTTCCATCGTCTTTTTCTAATTTCTTCAACTGGAAGCTGTCTATAAATACTTGTACCTTCTTGATGGTGGTTGTTGTAGTTCTCCAAGTTTCAGCTCCGTACAGTAGAACTGCCTTGACATTCATATTGAAGATTCTCACTTTGATATTGGTTGACAGTTGTTTTGAGTTCCATATGTTCTTCAACCGTAGGAATGCGGCCCTTGCTTTGCCAATCCTCGCCTTTACGTCTGCATCTGAACCTCCTTGTTCATCTATTATGCTTCCCAGGTATGTGAAGGATTCTACATCTTCCAGAGTTTCGCCATCAAAAGTGATTGGATTGCTGTTCTCCGCTTTGAATTTCAGGACCTTGGTTTTCCCTTTGTGTATGTTGATGCCTACTGATGCAGAGACTGCTGCTACACTGGCTGTCTTCATCTGCATCTGTTCGTGTGTACGTGATAGGAGGGCTAGGTCATCTGCGAAGTCCAAATCGTCTAATTGATTTCGAGCTGTCCATTGTATGCCGTGTTTTCCCTCAGATGTCAAAATCTTCATAATCCAGTCGACCACCAGAAGAAAGAGGAAGGGAGAGAGTAAACAGCCTTGTCTGACTCCAGTCCTTACTTGGAATGAATCTGTCAGCTGTCCTCCATGCACGACTTTGCACTGTAGTCCGTCATATCAGTTCCGGATAATATTAACAATCTTCTCAGGAACTCCGTAGTGTCGAAGAAGTTTCCATAATGTCCTCCTATCTACACTGTCAAATGCCTTTTCATAATCAATGAAGTTGATGTATAGTGACGAGTTCCACTCAACTGATTGTTCGACGATGATCCGTAGTGTTGCAATTTGGTCTGTGCACGATCGATCATTACGGAATCCAGCTTCTTGATTTCGAAGTTGGGCGTCTACTGCATCTTTCATCCGGTTCAGCGAAACTCTGTTAAAGATTTTTCCTGGTACTGACAGCAGTGTAATGCCTCTGTAGTTTTCGCATTTGCTTAGATCTCCTTTCTTTGGAATCTTGATGAGGTGTCCTTCTTTCCAATCTATCGGCACTTGTTCCTCCTCCCAAATCTTTTTGAATAGAAGGTGAAGCATGTTCGTAGTTATTTCGATGTCTGACTTCAGTGCTTCAGCTGGTATATTGTCGGGTCCTGCTGCTTTCCCGCTCTTGATTTGTCTGATGGCCATTCTGATTTCTTCCGTCGTTGGTGGATTGACATCTATGGGAAGATCTGTGTGCGCTGCTTCGATGTCCGGTGGATTCATTGGAGCTGGTCTATTCAGGAGTTCCTAGAAGTATTCTACCCATCTGTTCCGCTGTCGTTGGATGTCAGTGATTGGTCTGCCTCCTTTGTCCTTGACCGGTCTCTGTGGTTTACTATAGTTCTCTGACAGTTTCTTCGTTGTGTCATATAGTTGTTACATATTTCCTTCTCTAGCAACTTTTTCTGCCGTCGTTGCTAGTTCTTCCACGTATTTCTTGTCGGCTCTAATGCATTTCTTCACTTGCTTGTTTGCTTCTATGTATTCAGCTTGTGTTTGGACTTTCTCTGCTCGTGTTCGGCTGTTGTTAATTGCTGTCTTCTTGTTCGTCCTTGTACCTCCTTGTACCAATATCTATGTGTTAAAATAAAATAATAATAAACAGTTAAATTCACAGGTACATAACAAATAATAACTTAAGCTACTTGTTTACACTATCATTTTAGTAACACGTCTTCTGAATCTAACACTAGCAATAGACAATAATTTCGTTTGTTAGAAGTGTGATATTTAAGTAAAAAATACGACTAGTGTACCTGCCTTTAAATTTTTCCCGCTATTTATTTGAAAGCGAAAATGTACATTCATTTGATTAAATCGTAACGGTTATTCGGCTTTAATTTCCAACTCTGGCATCGCTAGTCAGAGTGATATGATCTGACTTTTATCGCAGTGTTGGTATTTTTATTACTGATATCCACGTTCAGATACATCCAATTTTTATTACTTTTGACTAAGAAGGAAATAGAAGTACCCACATATTCATCATACTAAACATAATTACTAGTTATCTCAGATTAATGTAGTTCAGTTTGGTGCTTGTGCTCCAGTTTTGAAAGAGTACACTATTCGAAAGGTAAACACACCTGCGGAAACTCTATTATGAAACAGTAAATTTATTTAGTTGGCAGGAACAAATATATCAGTACATCCATGTATTGCCATAAGTTAAGCTATTATTCGTCAAGATCCTGTAAAACACATCATCGCATATACCATTTGGCACATTTGTCTTTCTGTGCAAATTAGTCCAACTGATTTCTCGATGGTTATCACGAGACGGTTTTTATCCTTTCTTATAAACTGGAGCGTTCAGTGTCTGAGATCAGCTATGTGTCATTAATTCCATTTTCCAGACCTTAACTAAGATCTCAGTCAATCTAATTTCTAAAACTTAATTATTATCCTTAAAGGTATTCGGATTTACTCCATCTGGTTGCGGTGCTGTGCGTTTATCCAGATTAGTTATAACCTTTTGAACTTCAATAATAGTCTGGGGACTTGTTTTAATCTCCGGTTCTGATTATTTTGGAATAGTAGATAACTCGGGGAGTTCTGGATATTTTGTCTGTGTCGCCTTTGTTGTGTCCTCGGTCTTACTGTTTATATTTAGAAAAAGTGAGCCCTGTGAATTCCCATGACGCAAAGTAAGAACATGAAAGGCTGGTGCAATGAAGATTTATCAACTCTACAAAAAAGTTCAAAAAACATCCTCATTAGACCAAAATATACTCATTTATATACTGATTTCTACACACGGTAAGGAAAATACGTAGAGTTACTGCGAAAGCATACATACTAAGTGTAGTTCACCTGAATTAATGCAGGAAGTATAAATGTCACATTAGACGACAGTCCACATCTACCATATTTAGCTGAGCTCATACCGAATTGGTACAGGAAATATTGACCTAAAATGATGTCACTTTTTTCTCCCGTCTGAAAAGTCTGTTATTACCTACCGCCTCTACTATTACCTATTTGGCTTTCGCTGCCAACCACTCCTCACGATCATTTGGTAGACATTTTGTCCGTCTACGTCTAAGTTACCTTTGCCCCTAATCGTGTTCGGAGCCTGATGGGATGAGTTTCTGAACATGTACCAATTCAATAGGTGTCACCGAAATCCACTGATTTTGCATAATAGAAGTTTAATTCACACTGTTATTCTTCTATTTCCGAAAATCACTGTTCAGTATTTTAAAGCTCTTTTTTCATCCTAATTAGGATGGAAAATAGCTGAGCGAAGTGGAAGAAAAATGGTACATCTAATGATAACGGATGCCAATACAGAATCCGGAAATACCAACACGTCATAGAGGATCAACAGATGAAGCTACAAAGTACACTCACGTCAGAACATTTGCAAATTTTGACAACAGCCATCAAGATATCATACAAACGACACAGAGAACAGAGAAGAAACACCCTAGAGGAAAAAACTAATCAAGATCTCAAAACACCCATGGAAGAAAACAAAAACAACTGCGTGATCAATCTGTCAACCACTAACAACCACTAATAAATACGGAAGAACACCTACTCCAAAAAGGATTAAACTACAATACAAGCGACGCCTCAAAGCTGGAATTCTTCGCAGCACTAGAGTCATCACTCAAAACTTCCAGAATCAGTGAAGAAACGCAACAGGAAATAAGACAAACTATAGTACCGCTAACTCAACAGGTGAAGGAAAACGACCAGCTGACTCCAAAAGAACAAAAGGCTTTGTAGGAACTCAGAAATAGAAAGGATATTTTCATAATACCAGTGGACAAAGGACGCACCACAGTAGTCATGGACAAAGAAGAATACGTCAAAAACGCCGAAGAACTACTTGAAGATAAGAGCACGTACAAACTATATTTTAAAGCTCATATAACAACTATCTTGTAAATATTTAAGCTGTGAGGTCGTTTCATCACTACCACTGTACATTCTAGGCCTTTGAAATAAAACCATCTTACTGATTTAATTACATGTCGCTGAAGATATAAGAAGGGATGTATATGCTAATCAGACTTTAAAAATAGGTTCCAGTCTCCTTATTTGTTACCATTCTGATTATTATAAGGTTGATAGCTCGATTAATCTGCGGGTTTGTGTATTCAACTTACCTTTTCTTCTTTAGGATTAAACAGGCTTTCCGTTTTCTAATCATATATTCAGAGTTTTTATGTAGATTTCTGCCGTAAAATCTCGGATCATACTTTAACTTGTTTTTTGTCTATTGCTTATCTTTCAGACAATCCATTTGACACTGCACAAATCAAACCAAATTCCAATGACCCTGGCGAGAATACTCTATATTCTGCTACAGATTTATTCTTGTTCTATAAACAAATCTTGAAACAAACTCTCCAGTTGAATCGGGGTCATGGTTTGTTAGGACTTGTTCGTCTTTTAAGGCAGTATTTGTCTGAATACACGGTTCGTGTGCTCTTGGCTCAAATTCCAGGCTTAGCGATTACCAATACTAGTGGAACTAACGTTGGCTTATCTGCACCGGATGTTGCAGCGAAAATGGCAGCATTCGGTTTAAGCAGTCTCTCAGCTCTTGGTAAGTTTGTCATATGTCATATTATTACGTAATTGCAAATCATAGGACTTGGTCGTGGTCAAACGGGACTCGGTGCAGCTCTAGAAAATATTAGGACACAAACAAAATCCAGTTCTGCGCAATCTGATCTGATAAGTTCATCAAGCAACCAGGTGATTAACAGTTTACTTCGTGATGATGTACAAGTAAGCTCTTAATTATCGTAGTAATGGTATATTTATGTTTTAAGTTATCCCGTTGTCTAATTGATAGTTTACTACATGGAATGCTTAGTGTTTATACTTCAAAGAATTGTTTGAGAATAAGATTTTTCGACAAAAATGTCAAGGGATAACTTTGTAATCTCTTTCAGTGATGGATAATAGATAGAACTTTTTATTGAATTTCAACTTAAGTAGTTACCTTATTACATTTTATAAGTAAAATAATGGTGACTGATATGAATGGTGAACCTAAAGGAAACCCTACAACAAAGTGAATGGCTCAACAATTTCACAAGGAATTACACGTTTACTTTGAGAGTAAATATAAGTAATCACTTTAAGCAAGAAATCCTTTTATTAAAGATCAAATTTTCACGGTGTCATAGCTAGCGGAGCTGTAATACACTAACTGAGTATATCTATTAAAATGACGGTTCATTCAGTTAATCTGGATCAGCCTTGACAATACGAATAAAAGATAAGTTATCGATACTGGGTTATGCGGCGCATTTATATCATTTTAATTGTTGTGTGCTTGTATATGTCTGCACCCGCTTCCCTGAAATGTTTATTATTAGGGTGTTACTATGAAGTTCATTCCAACTGGGATTTGGATCTATTAGTTACTTTAAATTCCCTAAAAATATCGTTTTAGCTCCGGTTTTCTAATCCGGATGGCTATTGCTTCAACCGTTTGAGGGACTTTGAGTGTGACAGGTTTTGGAAAAAAAATTACTGAACCGATAAATAATTGAAAAGGATTAGTTTGTACCAGCACTATAACCAGTTTGCACTAAATGAGCCAATAACGAACTGTTCACTTTCTTCACTAGATCTTTGCTTAGCCACGCTGGGAGGTGTTTGCGAGCACGAAAATGTAAATTCCTAGAATTTCGACCAATATGACTTTCTCCACAAGGGCAGTCAAACTGATAAATACAAAATGAGATGGTGATTCTAGGTAATTCATCTTTTAGACTCAGTGAACCCTTGGGCGCGTAGAAAACACTAATCGTACTTCTCCGGCGTCGAATGATTTTTGGATTGCTCTGCGTAATTTCTGAATTAATAGTACGCTAGCAGCGTCCCCTCTGAATTGTAGGCCCATGAACAGGGATTTCTTATTCGCCGTTTGTATTTCGCCTATTCTAACCTTCGTGATCATATATTTATTTATAAAATCTCCAGAGTATCCATCTTCCCTAAGAGTATTACTCAAGACGTTTAGCTCTTCAACTATATCCTTAGAACGTATAGTATGTATTCAGTAAGTAAAAGTTTTAATCAAGTTTCTTTTATACATTAGAGGTACAAAACTAAGGAAATGTATGTACTGCCCTGTACAGTTTTTTTATGTTGAAATTCCTTCTTATGGACCCATTAGCTCCCTTGGTTAAGAGAACGTTCAGAAAGGCTAATTCACCTTCTTGAGATGTACACTTAATGGCTGAAGGTACTTCATTACATTGCCCAAGAATCTCTTGTTGTGATGTACTATCTTTACAAAGGATGAAAGTTATCGTCCGTATATCGACAGTAAAATGTGAATTTTTGAATAGTCTTTTTGAGTGGACCATTTTCTAGTTTGGTTAGAAAAATGTCAGCTATTATAGAGCCCATCGCAACTCCATCCATTTGTCTATAGATTTCTCCGTTGAACTTGAAATTCACATTCATGGTGCATTTCAGTAATAACCATTTTGCGACATTGAATGGAATTGTAGTTTCGATTTCATTTCTTCCAAGTTGTTCACATATATATCCTCCAGTCTCCATGAGTGGAGCATTTGTAAATAATGATGTCATATCCAAAGACATCAGCTTTTGTTCCATAGTATTTGCATTTTCGATCTTATCAACAAATCTGAATACATCCTTAACACCGTTTTACAAGTACAAAAGAAATATCTTCAACCGCTTCTCCTCCCTTGACCAACCTCATGGCCAATTACTCAATAGTAACCTTAGCTATGAAGTTGCCTAATTTGACCACTGTACTTACAACTTTTCTTAGTCGAATATATAATTGCAATAGTCGACTTCATTGGTCGATGTAAGCTAGACCATCATTGAAAATCTGGAAGCACCGGACGGCCATTTCGTCTTAGTATGGAACTTCTCAGCAGTGTGCACTACAATCTCCACAATAAACCATCATTCTGATAATAAAAATATGATTGTCTTTATTATACTTATTCACATATTTTTGTATTGCTATTATTATTGGCTTAACATAATTGATCTTCCGAATACATGATTCGTTTACTTCGCATTCATCCCACTTTATTATGTCTTACTAATTTTTGTTACACATTATAGTCTTCCACTAAACATTTGATTGAATTTGTAATTGCGCTGTTATTTTTCTCACTCTATCTGACTCATATTTATTCTGATCATGGATCTTAAAATTTCACTTAACGTATAAGCTGATTAAAGTTAACATTCTGTATGAGCCGTATCAACATTAACAATCCTAAATTCACATGCTATAACTTTAAACGATGCACTTTGCCCTAAACGTGGTCACTTTTCGGATTATTAATTCTGATATATAATTGTAGAACCTGGAAATAATTTATCAATGAGAACATTCTTCGTTCATGTATTAGTCTTTAAAAAAATATTTGTATACTCTGTACGTCGTCTTAATTTTAATTGCACCATAAATCTTCACAGATAATTTACGAGCAAGATCATATTACTACTAATAATAATGCACGCTTAATATTTTCATTCATCAGGGAGTTCGACTGAGTAAGGATGATGTCTACAAGGTGTGTGTCATACTTGTTACAGCAGCATTTTGTCTGAAGACTGTTGAAGATTTAGAGAAGCGTCTAAAACATGAAGTAAGTTATAATCAGTTTTTCTTTATGTATAAAGAAACCATGTTTATATCATTCAGTCTGCTAATTTGTTTAGTGCTATTTACCTTATTTTAAAAGTTTTCTCAGATGAGCTAACTTAGTGTTCGGATTCTTTCGTTTGAAATAGTTCATGAAGCCTTCTGTTTTACACTTGATTTTTGCATCGTGGGGTTTTTCATAGTTCATTGAGTGTACTCTGTATGCTGTTAGATTTCTAATTATAAGAATAGGTGATAAACAGTTGTTTGTAATTTATTTAATAGGCGATTATTATCCTATTTCAATTTCATATGAGTAATAGTCGTGTTTATCAATTTTGACGTTTTATTTGTTATATGAAATTCATTTATTTACTGATTTTTATATTAGATCAGACCACCTAGCTGGGGTTCAAAAATATCATTTGCTTCTGAACTTGATGGTTTAGCAACTTGTAGATCTGTTTGTGTCCACCGCCTTGTTGCAGACTTGGAAGCTGGTGTTGAACCTCAGCTAGTCGCTATGGCACGTTTACCTTGGAATAATCTTGTACAAGTTGGAGACCAAAGCGCCTACGTTACAGCCATTGTAAATCATCTTCGCACTCAAATCCCACTGATACGAGAAACATTGTACACCGTCAGGTAATTTATCTATTTTCTGTATGTGTTAACAATGTCTTTGTCGTATACAATCGTCTTATATCTTTTATGCATTATTAGGCCAGCTTTTACTCAAATATGTATAAAATTTGCTGATGCATTAATTGCGAGATTCGTTAATGCCTTATATCGTTGCAAACCGGTCAATACTTTTGGAGCTGAACAGCTTTTATTGGATACCCAATCGTTAAAGGCTTCTCTTCTTCAAATGCCTCTTCTTGGAGCTAAGGTAAGATAATATTCTATGTTGTTTTGATTATGTATATAATTATGGACTAGGGTACAATACCAACATTCTATTGTCTTACATCAATGGCATAAATGATTTGTTGTGTCTTTTGCCATGCATTATGAACTAACTAACAATGAAGGACTCACACGACCTTGATATGGTGGTCGGGCTTGCATGTCGTAATGAACCAATCGCGCTATATTGGCTGGGACAATCGTTCCTCAAAGTTCAACCATGCCAGATAGGTCAGTTGAAGGGAGGTAAGACTAAAAGCAGCAAACTCTTGAAGTCACTAACTTCCGGTCTGAGTCATGCTGGTGGATGCAGATTACTTGGTTAGGGTTCGCGCGACTATCGTAACCAATTATTGGAGACTCTGGGTGACATGGCTCAGAATTGATCACAATGGAGTAGGTGTATACATTGTTTGTCTTCCCTTAAACCATGAGATTAGAGCTGCTTTATACCTTTCTTTCTACGAACGAATTCTTTCTTCCTGTTTTATATCATTATACATAGTCTTTCTTTTATATATTACTACCATTGAATTAACTACTATGAATTTGGTGTTCATCTTGTTGTGCTAATGAGGTGTGGCAACTTGAACCTATGCATATATGTGCCTGGTCCTAGGTTGTAGCTGACTGATCGAACTAACCATGAGTCTACTTTCTGATTATCATGTTTTACAAAATAACAGAAGAAATTAACTTATAAAGCATCACCTTGTTATTTTCTTATAATTCCGCTCATTTCCGAATACTAACGCCCAACATATAGATATCACATTCGGTGACTTCTCAAAGTGTAAAAAACATATTATTCTTTTCCTTTTTAGTGGCCAGTGGATCTAACTCTGATTTGGATGAACGTATGTATATACCGTGCATATAAATCTTCCATTTAACTCTGTATAGTACACCTAAGCTAACCCCGTCTGTCTGACTTCGGTAATAAGAAACTAAATATGGGTTAAGCTGGAAAAGGCGTTCAGCAGAGACTTCAAGAAAAACGGCGGTTTATGTGTCATGTGCTGATTGGGTTGCTATCAATTTTGTTATCAATTCCAGCATGTTTTCAGAAGTTTCCCAAATGTCAAAGTCACACCTATGAATATTCTAATCTATTGTACCTAAACCAGCCCTGGAAATAGAAATTCATTTCATACTTTTGTTTGATATTCAAGTGCAGAAGATATTTAGGAGACTAGGAAGCGATTGAGAAGTTAGTTACAATCGTCCTAGTATTAGATATATCAGATACAAGTCGAAAGTATGGGTTTCTTGTCTAACTAATTCACTGATTTGTTTATTGTGATGAATATATCAACACAGTCATTTCCCCCAGTATTGTGTTAAAAATCAATTTTAAATGTCCTACATTTTGTTTAAGTCTTTTTACTATTCAATATTAAGATATTTTTATTTAAAAATTAGTCTAAAAGCTTTCAATTTACATTATTTATAGTTTACTCAGACACCTCCACGAAGCTTTACAAATCTAGTTCATGAAGGTATGGGGAAGGCAGAACGCATAATCAAAGCAGTTATGTTACCAGTCGGTGTCGCTACGCCAGGAAAGCAAGAGTCAACAACTCCTCCAAGTGGATTTGTAATGGGTCCAGTTGATACAAATGCAGCTAATGTATTTTTAGCTAGTTACGAACAATTATTACCTGATCTAACTCAAACTGATCTACAAAATGTTTTGGATATGAAAGTAAGCAATATAATGGACAACTTATCGTTTTCTGAAAACAATCTACGTTTGATAAATAATTATATTCCGCAATCATTTACTGTTTTCAAGTAATATTTACAGAAATATAACTGAAATTAATCGTTCACTGTAGTTCCTTAAATCAGTCATATTATGCGCTCCATTGGCGAAGGAACTTGACATAGACCCCTTCGCAAAACCGATATTCAGCAAATACTGAAAATAAATACTATAGATTGGACAATAAACTGATGTGGCTAAATTGATACTTGTCCGTAAGCATTACTGCTGCTAGGTTCGCTTCCCTGGTGACATTTTTCAAAACGGTCTTGACAGAATGTTAGACGGTTGCAGAACCGACCATTACTTTGCTATTGATTAAAGAATCAACCGAAAAAGGGGGTGCCCAAACCGGAGCAGGCACCCTCACATAAATCGAATGATTTATGTGGAGCATCTGTTCGGTGCCTCTATGCACCAATGTTAACGTGTTTAACTAATAATAATAATAATAATAATAATAATAATAATAATAATAATAATAATAATAATAATAATAATAATAAAGAATCAATCATTCATATACCATAATATGAATTAATTAGAATTCATAATCATGTTTTGATCATGATTTTTATCCATTTTGTCCTATTTAGAATAGCCCAGTTGAATATCTTGAATCGACTCATGATCTCAACTATTTAAATTAATAAAAATAAATTGTTTGGTGTCAACAGTAATGATGGTTTATTTTTCTTTGTTTATTGTTGGCAACAAAAATTCGAATGTTTAAGATTCCAGATTAAATCAAGAAAATTATTTATTTTGCTGTATATTTCCTCAAAAATTAAGTCTCTTCCAACTTCCTTATGTATTATTTTAATCTCTTATAACTGCATTAATTTGGTCTATTGGTAGATTTCTTGGCTTCTTAAATGTTGCTGCCTTTGAATTTATAATAATCCAAAAAGTGTAAGAAATCTGATTATTGCAGTCTGTGTCATGCCACGTACCCAAGCTGGTAAACTTTCTAAATTTACACGGTCTGAATCGAATACTGACAACTTTGTAAAGTGTTCTAATGTCGCAGATTGAACATTCTTAGGTTTTTTTATATGCTTTGTAATAAGTTTAAGTCCTTGTTCAAAATCCAGTTGACTTGGAAAATACAGCATGCTGTTAATTTATTGAAGTACAGTAGGATTTACCTGTAATACATTTACGATCCTCTATCCGAATACTTGACAAGATCTATATAATTCTCTTTTTTACTGTTTTCTGAAACAAGTGTCGTCGCGAACTTCCCAGTTAAAATCTTTCATTTTATTTGCAAATTAATCAATTAATACTATTGAGTTTTTCGTTTCTTTTAGGGTGTGAAATCCAGTGAACAACAGTTGATTTTAGAAATATTTCGTAGTAGAAATGAATTTAAGTCAGCGATGAAAGAAAAAACACCTGAAGTAACGTTATTTTGTTCTGTTGCAGATACTGCTATCACTGCTAGCACTTTTGTTAGTAACGTAGCTTTGACAGGGATAACGACAGTTACCACGACCACCACTGCTCTTACGAGTTCCTTTGTAGCTACACCGAACTCTCCAAATAATCAGCATCAAAAATCGAAGCAGTCTGTATCGATCTCAATGAATCCATTCGATTCATCTTCATCAGTAGAAGAGCGGGAGCAAATAACAGATAGGAAAGGAAAAATAGAAAAGTTATTGAATAAAAGACGATAAGACTATTACCGAATTGTAATTTTTGAATGTTAATTTTAATGAATAATTAATATCTTTATTGTTGCTTTAACTTCGTTTATTTTTTTCTCAACTCGGTCTAGTTTATTCTATTCCTTCTCCGTTTTGCTATGTTGAAACTTCCGCTTGTCAAAGTAACTTTTCTGTTGGTGTGTATAATTAACAAATCTCTTCATATATATATATATATATATATATATATATATATATATATATATATATATATATATATATACTACTATTATTGCCGGTTTAAAAACGCTGTACTTGGATGTTTTTTTATATCTTACTTCCTTTTATTATTTGTTTTATTACTTACTAGCTATATTGTGATAAAATGTTCGTAGGAAACGTTCTCTGTATTTCTGTTTCTGTAACCCTATGGTATGGATTGAAATACCAGTTTGCTTTCTGACAATTTTCTCAAGAATATCATGTTACATATCTACTTAGTGCATCAGTTTTTATGGTACTGTTATATTGGTTACTAATGTTTATTTTACTGTGCTAAATAAGAAACAAAATTAAAAGGTGATTTTTGCTGGTCATTCACCTAACCTCATTTTAACCAAGTAATTTAAGGGCGTTTTTCCTTTATTAGCTTAAGTTGCATCAACATTGGTCTATGTAACTGTGCTACTTTGAAATTTTGAGTAACTAGAGCACTGGTTTCTTCACATCTTGTAGAATATTTTCATATGTCCTGGTAGATCTAATTTAGTTTATTAATAACTAACTGGAGAACTATGAAATCAGGTGACACACCATACTGCTGTTTGAAAAAGAATACTTCGCACAACTAATTCCCTTCGTTTTCACAGGTTATCAAGTGGAATCCGAAAAATCCTAACCAGTATAAAAATGTGCTATGTAGTTGTGTCAATGACCTTTTAAAGTTGTAAAAAACTTATTTGAAGTGGTGATTTCCAGCTGATTTGTATAAGCCATCTCCCGAATCGGTAACAAACAAATAAACATTCATAGTATTCCACGCGTTGGTTTTTTTTGCCTGTCGATGTCACATTCCATATGTTAATTAGTTGATCGACAGGTAGCTTATTGTAGTCCGATATACTTCTCTTGAGAAGTGTGTTACTTTGGCTTGAATAGTATAACAAGTTTTTGATAATTATACCACTGCACTTGAAGATTTTTAGTTCATCAATTTTATCAACATTATACAAAATAATTTGTCAGTTTGTATCCAATAGTCTTAATGGACTTTCAATTTATAAATGAGATTAACTAGATGTTCAATCAAATCAGTTAAAATATCAGGATATTTTGGACGTTAAATAAAACCTTAATTACACAACATCAGTAACTCTGAAGCCTATAGAAAAGTAATTTTCATAAACTCTTGATAAGTGTCTATGGAACTTTGTATATAAGCAGACCCATTTATACACTGTACATAAGCTTACTTTTTACACCGACTAATGGTTTTTAAACCTCTGCTTAAATCCTAAAGCTAAAAAGAGCTTGCATGAACTATTTGTGATCAAATAATAGGACTTTATTTGGTGATAGATTGTTTATTTGTTAAATTTTGAAAGTTATCTTTTCTCAGACATGAGGAATACTGGTTATCAAGTTTGTTGGAGATTAGGCACCATTACTTAAGTTATGTATTTGAGATTACGTAAGCATAATCCAACTAGAAAAGAAGGAATTTCTATTATTAACAAGTTTAATAATCGAAGCCTTGGAAAACTGTCAAAGAATTCCCTTATCTATATCTTTACATATCGACTAATACTGTATTAGTATATGGAAAACAGTTAGTCTCATGGGTGGCAAGCCACCTTTTTACCTTGTATTAATTGACCATTAAGCGTGTATGTATGTGCCTAGGGTACCTACTGTGTATAGATACTTGCTTATCTATTAGCCAAAATCTATTATTATGGAATGTCGAGTCCGTATTTGTGGAAAGTTAGGTATCAAAGGAAGTATGAATGTGACAGAATAACCTGACAAATAAATATTTAAGATCAGTTTCGAAACATAGACGATCAAAAAGTAAATATTAATGGAATTCCCCGACCGTAGATGTTACCTTGACGTGGTGGTCGGGCTTGCCTATCGTGATGACCCAATCAAGCTATATTGGCTGTAAAATATGATCCTGTAGGTTGTACGTTGTTACTGACCGACTGATTAATGAAATTCATGGAAAGATGATTACTTAGTGTTGTGGTATTTTCAGTCATAATTTTAATTTCGTTCACTGATTGGAATATGATTTACTGAATCAGTACAACAGCGTTTATTTCGAAATTTTTACATCTGAACAGCTCCATAATTATTGGTAGACTCCTGCTAAGAAAACTGATGATAGTGATAGTGAGGTTAGCGAAAACTCAAGTTTGAACACTGTATAAGTATGCTTTTTTCATTTGTCATGATGATAGATTATTGTTCAAAGAACCGCACGTCGAACAGATTCTTTGGTATCACTAAAGATAATGAATTACGTCCTGATCATATATGACGCTACATCATTGTTTTAGTTATCAAATAAACAAGTCATCGTCAAGTATGGGAACATCAAAAAACTTTTTAAGTTTCATTTTAATGTGAAAAATTTGTTTGATGTCTGGTACTTTCACATAAGGTAAATGTCTTATGAATATCTTGTTAGAAATGTCACGAAAATATGTCAGTGAGAAAACTGACTGATACTTAAGTTACAGTCAATTTCAGATCATACAATACATTGTTTACTCACTGTTCTTGACATCCGATGGTTTGCTAAAGAAAAATAAATAATGTTTGTTATATCCACAGGATGAAATATTGCCAAGATTCTGTTAGTTTTCTCAAATCTACAATCTAAATTAATTCAAAGGAAAGTTCTGAAAATTTTCAAGTCAAGTGTTGACTAGGTGGATTTCAGTACAAAGCCATTATTTCACTTTTCAAATGAAATCAATGTAATTTTTCGTGTTGAATCGAAAAACTTGGAGTTGATGTATAATCAGAATTGGAAGTGATTAATCTACCAAGTTAATAGGAGTATAATAAGACAGAATAAATGTCTTCATATTTCTGTTTCTTGTTGTTTCTTCATTTCGAATACACTAACAACAATAAAAAATTCCTTATTTTTCCTGATCAGAATATTGTCTTCATGATTGTATTGATGGTGTATATGCACTAATGTGTACTTATGTAGGGTTGCTATTAAGCAGTGACTATAAGAAAACCGTTTTTCTTATAATTTCTTAGGATTCTTAAATTCTTTTAGTGATCTCGAATTGATCGTATTTCTGTTCAAATCAACATTCAAATGTAACCAATAATAGTACATCGTACACAAAACAGTGTGATAACCACTCTGGATAATAAATCAGTATTAACAGGGTAGGTTAAGGGTAAGAACAAATTGTTTTTGAACACAAAGGGGGTTTCAGTTTCCGTATAGCCAAGGCTTCAATAAACCATGGTATACGCCATTGAAGGCTTTTGTACAACACTACAAATGCTGACTTGATATCAACCTTATAACCAGTCTATACCAAATGTTTCGCAATGGAGAAAGATGTCTGTCTATCCTGTGATCTTATTTGACCATTGGAATTCATTTGTTTCTGCAGCCATATGGGCATGTGTTTCACCACCCTTACTTGCAGATCTCGATTGCTCCTCCCACATTGTTTTTGCGAACTTTATTTTTCTTTGTTATGGCTTACCTTTAATCTGTCTAGTTGACCTTTTAGTTTTCATATAAAATTGTCTTAACAAATATATGTGTGATCAAATTGTTCGAAATGTATTGCATTGTCGAAATTTGTAAAAGAGACTAATTGTTTTAAGTATTACATCGTGTTGGGCGTTCTTGCTGTATGTGATTTATCTCGTTTTTTTTCGAAAAACTGATTATTCTTCAGTGATATAACAGTGCACTATGATAGACTTATGAAACATTTATTATAATGTTGATAACAGTAGTAGTTTTGTGTTAATGCTTCGTGTAGGCTAACACTGATAAAATTATACAATTAAATGAATTATGTATTTAAAAGTGAAACAAAAATCACTAGGAGAATTTCATGTTTTATACTTGGAAATAAACATCAGCTGTATTTATTTCTTCAGAATTTCTACAAGAATGCGGCGAAAAACTTTTCATTTGTACTTGAACTTCACGTTCCAAAAAACAAATAGTATATAAGTTCTATTCAGGTACCCACAAAATAACGTTTCTGACCTAAACTTATGAACAATTTATAGACCGCTAATGATCCACTGTGGTTTTTCGAATTGTGCTAAGTAAGCATGGAAAATATAGCAAAAGATAGAAAAGCTTGGAATGCGAGTTAATAAGGTAAAGTTTGTTTATTCACTCAATCGTCAATACTCGAACAGTCAAGTCAATAGTATATGTATGATTTGTCGAAACTATACAATTATATTATTTGTTTGGCGTAAATATTGCCAATAATGAAATGTTTGTATAGTAAATTATCACAACAGTTAGAAAAATCGTTCGGAGCAATCCTTAGCATATTATCTATCAGTAAGCTGGAAGACTATTTTTAATTCGCTGATGTACTGGGTATGTTGAAAATTTCTAGATAATACATTTGAAGTTATTTTTTTAATATCTTTCCATAATTTCTTTGTCAGAAGAATATACGAAGCGCTTTCATTAATGGAAAGATAAAACAAGCAGCCCTATTGAACCTATTATATATATATATATATATATATATATATATATATATATATATATATATATATATATATATATATATATATATATATATATATATATTGCGAACCGACTGGTGAATGAATTCAAGCATACGCACTATTGACAGTAGCAGATTTAACACAGAGCTATATCTCATCTTTTCGGTGGAACATAAATATGACAGCCACTTCAGATTCTTTGGTCTGAAGATGAGAAGAACAAAAATAACTCAATTATCTGTACTTAGGTATAGAGAAATCGTCAAACAGTTCTTTATCTTACAGATGATGAGTAAACGCCAGTACTTTGGGGAGAACAATTTTCTTGTACCTTAATTCACCTTTCGTGTTCCAGTTTAAAATCGATCAAAGTTAATCCGAAGTTGTTTTAAACTCTAATTATCTTTTCATGTACACTTGCCTAAGTTATTATTAAAAATAACAGAGATAAGTGTTGGCTGGGTTTTATCCATATACTTCAAAATATCTAGGATTCAGGTAAACAAAGTTCCGATTGGTGAATAGGGATAAGACAGAAACACTACTAGTCTAAACTAATCAAACGAATTTAACTTTACTTAAACGTTTTTAAACATCGACAATTTGTTTGTTATCTATATTTTTAACTGTGAAGTAGTATTTTATTCTGCTCGTTTTATGTTTAGGATCCCAATATACTTACATAATAACTGTCATCATTATTTGTATTATTATTGATACTGTTTTCCTCCTCATCTAAAACTGGATTCTTCTACCAATTGCACATGAGTTTATAAGTTTGTTCAAATAACTATTGTACTATCAGCCATATTCCATACACTAAGTTGATTAATTTATTAGTTCACTTTTGAAACGCTTGATTTCAGAATCAGTTTAGCAAATTACTGAAGTAGTTTTTTGTTTGTTTCATTGAAAAATTATATATTTAATATAAAACAAGTAACGTTCCCGGGAAATCTCATAGATTTAACGGAAAAATTTAGAGCTAAGTTCATTGAATAATCGGATTATCTGCTTGACAACATAATGATCTAATTTCTGAATAAAGTTTTGTCAAGGAAACGCAATCAAGTATAGGATTTCTTAGTCACGGTTCTTAAACAATTCTTCGGTTTGAATAAAAGTGGAATTTGTATTAAACAGCATATTTATAAAAGATCTTGAAAGTTATTTTATGCACTAAAGATCTGCATACTGATAATCTAATTAAGGGGTACATTAGGACACTTTTAAATAATAGGAATGAGAGTTTTGTACTAAATTATATTATAGTTGACTCTACTAATGAATATAACTTTACCCATCTTCGTGTTCAGACAGATTTTAGATTGATTATGTCATCCTGACTATGGTTAACGTTATTTTAAGACACATGTCATGTTTATCAAATTTAATAATGGTTTATAAAAGGAAGTAAATGCGATGAGCTAGTTTTAAAATTTTTATTTCAGCTTAATACTGGTAACCAAAATAGGCACATTTCAGTGAGAAAAACATATCAGTATCCAGCTTCCATTAAAATTTCAAAAAATACTGATAGACAAGGCATTATCAGGTACAACTTCATCATTAATATTTAGTGAACTTTTAATAAACTCACTAATGTCGTCACAAAATTTATTTATTTTTTCTTGAAGTTCTGTTTGCTGAATTTTAAGGAAATACAAATACCTCCTAAGCTTCTGTTCTCTTGGAGTTTTTGGAGCAAATGAAGAAGGCCTTGAGTTAATGCTTCTTGCCGAATCAAGTTGATCGTTCATATTTGTTGATAGGCTTACACGTGGTGGACATGATCTAGATGATTTTATTTGCTGTCGGTTTTTTCGACGTTCAACTCGGATTTGATTTTCTAACTCCAGGTAGGATCTAGAAAGAAACCATAATTTTCGTTGAGATGCAGAACCGACAGTTGAATTCAATCCCGAAATTATTGTAGACCGAGTTGAGTTTGGAGTGGTGGTTGGTCTTCGTCTGATTCGTCTGACTCTTGGGGCAGATAATATCAGTCTAGTTTTTGGGCGTGGTGGAGGTCCTGGATAAAAAAAGAAAAGCATAGATAATACTTTCATCATAAGGTTTTATCTTAGGTGAAAGATATATCTTCTTTAAGATTAACACACGATGATTAATTTCATAGTTACAATAAAAGTAATTCAGAGTTATTATATTGTTATTGTTCACTCTATCTGATATACTAAATGTTGATTTAAATGTTTTTAAATATCAATTTCGCTCGTGCTATGATAACAAGGAAATAATTAATTCATATAATTCAGAATGCTAGAAGATTCGAAATAATTCGTGGTAAGTTAACATCTATAGTTTGAAGAAGGCAAAAGGAAAACTACCCTTGTTTGTAGATAAGTTATTGAGAACGAAAGGAAAGCCCCTATTAAAAGATTCTAAGCTGTTCAGACCAACAAAAAGAGTAACAAGGATAAATAAAATTTACCTAAGTAATACAATAGGCTCTCTAAATATACAAAAACTAACTTTGAAATTCCTTTTGATTTTTTTTCAGACTGTGAATAGTCCTGCTTTTATGTTTTTTCTCTCCACGACGGTCCTTAAGAACTGATTTCTTCGCTTCCTTTTGTTTACCTGATATTTTAATCAAATTTGTCGAGGATGAGTCGAGATTTGAGTTTATTTTGTTCAGAAAGTTTGGAAACAATCGATTATGACCTTTGAGCACTTTTTGCCATAATCCCTTATTGGAGTCAACGGCAAACTTCTGAAATTTAATTAGTTATAGATAATAATCAGTCAGTTATTAAACGCGTCTCAGATATATAATTTCTCAATAATAAAGTTGTCCTGGTAGATATAGAAAGCAAAAGGAATTCATCAGTAACGTCGACTGATGTCGATCTGTTTTCCATTAAACTGGAACTCATTAGGTATGGTAGCACATGGGAAAACTTTAAATTTTAGTACACAAGATGAAGGCATCCACTGAAGACTATTGAGGATAGTAGGGCAGTGTTGTGAATTAACAGACGTTGGACATATACACCTCTGGACCCCCGATGAATAATCTAGAAGCTGTGTTCGTGGGCTTGACCGATTGTCCTGGGTTTGATTCCTGATAGCGGGGCCATCGACCAACACTTCTGAGGAGTTTCATAATAGGACATAATATCTTCTAGGTCTTCGATGGTCGCTTAACTTAGACAGGCTTGTGATTTCACTGAAAACCTTGAATACTTTGCAAATATTAAAATAAATGTATCTTTTTCGATAACAAGTGAAATTAATGGCATGGTCAAACTTCACTGGACTATTATCGATAAATAAATGTTTGATTTCAAAATTCTATTTCTACTTTTCAAAGTTAACAGATGAAAATGTTGTCCACAGAATATTAACTCTTGCAAAGAGCTTCACCAATAAATTCATTAATCAAGCAATGAATAAAAAAATATTCACTAGAATAGCAGAAATTGTGTAAATCATACAAACATCTTCATCCTCTTATTCTTCTACTTGTTCGTCAATTTATTAGGCCATAATAATCAGTGATAATGAGATTTAGTTTTGATTTTACTCAATTACTTACAAAGACGTATTTCAATTAAAATGGAAGTTAATTTTAAACAAATACTGTATAGTATTTGTCTATACTGATACTGTGTACTTGAATTTAATAGACTTTTATGCATGATCATCTGTAGTGTTTTTATAAAATAATCTATACATTTCAGAAAAGATAATAAAGTTTGCTTCGTCCAATTATTAAAGTCACCAGCTTCTCCTCTTAAAAAGTAGACCAATGAATATGATATCAAGTTTAGACCACGGTTGTGTTAATGTTTTTCCTAATGTCATATCATTCGGGTGAAAGGTGAGATATTTAGACACGTTAAATGTAAGTGTTTGGAATAAAAGTTCAATTTGAATGGTAAGTTAGTCCTTTTCTGTTGAGAGCAGTAGGGTTTAATAATACATGCATAGTTGCAAATATTGAAATATAATTCTAATGTTCTCTAGACAGTTTTCATGTGATCTAACGCCTGACTAAGATAGTTAAACATTTGTCTTAATTTTTGTTTAATGAAAAAAGAGAGTATATGATTGATTTAACCGAAAGAATCATTATTCATTCTACCTTCTTTTATTATCTATCCTACATGAATCATTATGGAATCGGTTTAATGAAGTTATTTTTTCCACTTATTTTTATTGAGTGATTTTCGAAACTATACTGGGGGGGGGGAGGTGAATAAAAATAACAGTTCCCCATTCCATTTCATTGGTATTACTGTGACTATCTAAATAGTTGTTTTAACACTGAAGCGAAACAACTAATCTGATAGTGAGCTTTAAGAAATACCTGCAGATTTCACATTTGGTTTATTTTTGGTAAACCATATTTTATTTCACTAAAATTCATTTCAAAAAAATAATATTCCAAAGATGATTTCACATTTTCACTAAATTGACTATTCTTACACTAATCAATTGATATCGATAATGTCCTTAAACTTAACCACTAAACTGCTCTAAATCATTCCAGTAACAATCATCTGTAGTCAAAGAGTTCTGCACTTTTCGGATCATTATTAATCCTGGAGATGGTGCAACGCACTAGTTTGGAAGTTAATCAGATATGACTCAGAATAAAAGCAATTTGCAATTCTTCTGAAGTTTTATTTTATATTCATTATAAAAGTAAGAGGAGCTTGATTTCATGAACGAATTCTTTCCTGTTTGTATTTATGACTGAACTGTATCTCCTAATAAGTATTAATCCTGTCCACTTATTTATTATCCTCTATTGTACTTCCCTTTGTTCTTTTATCTCACAACAATAATGACACTATTTTTATAATTCGTATTTTTTAGATGCTCACTTGTATCAAATTTTATGTCTATTAAATGAAGTAAAGTAAAAAAATGTTTTTAGAAACTTTAATTCTCTGAATGGCATGTTATGATGGAATTTTTTTGATAATGTAAAAACTTTCGATTTTCCAGTTTCTTTGACAAAAGAGATTCACATGATTCCTTATTTTATCAAGTGTCCTATGGACTAACTATTCGTAAAATCTCATTAAATAGTCCTACATTTCGATAGTGTAATAAGAAGACGAAGATTGTCATATGAATAAACTGTCCTTCTTTCTAATTATGTAAGGAACAAATATTTTTGATTCTTTGTTATTGACCTCATGATCCATAAATTCTTTTATCAGCTACTGTGAACATTTTCATAATGAATTATTTAATTGAAATGCAATATGAGATAGGCTAATATCAATTAATTGGACGAAATCCTACTAAAACACCCTTCAAAAAAACAAAAACAAATAAAGACTTACTGTTCGATTAATTTCTTCAGCTACTTTATGAATTTCATACAGTTGATCATTAACGCGCTGTTTTGCTATATCCTGTTTAAGAGATATCTCGTTTTTATGCTGTAAAGCAATTTCTTCCAGTTTTTTATTAACTTCATCAACATTTTTATCTTTACACAATAATTTTAAAATATTCCAGTGTTTATTATGAGTAGCAGACATTTGGTTGATTTCATATAAATGATTCATTTTTTAATTCGTGATCTTATAGATACCAGTTAATGGAAAAGAAATCTTCTAATTCTTGTATCTTCAGTAGGTTTTCAATATAACTTTGTTACTTTTAAATAGAAAATAATTTGATTTTATATTTGTTCACCAACTCAGAACATAAAACAGTTTAAACTAATGTTGATTTTTGTAACTTGATTTTGTTAAAGTCTGTTTTTTTGTTTAACTTAGCTACCAGAGAATCTTTAATAGGCTTACACTAGAAAGGATTTTAATTTGAATCTCTTGACATATTCGTCTATGAGTTGACCTTAGTTGTGTTTTTAGAGAATTATATCAAATTTATGGAATGACAACTAATTTATAACCCTTATTTTACCTGGCATACTAAGATGATTACGGAGCAAACTTTTTTAACAAATATTTTAGTGATGATTTCGAGTTTTGTTATTATCATTGTAATTATCTAATAGCATACATACCAGGAAATCTGTCAACAAAAATTCTCTGAAAACTTGGTAAGTTCTATTTCTAAATCCTTCAGAAATAACGTGACTTCTAATAGATGCTGAATAAAGGTCGAAACCTTTATTTTCTTTGAAGAGATGGGTCATTGAGTTTGAATCCCTCATCCATTATACCGCGTACCGCGTAAGCTGAAATAAACAACTAAGTTATTTTAATCGTGCCTCATTCTTGTTATTGAAATGAAAATCATTCATTATGTTTAACAGTATTTACAAATTAAATTTATCTGAAGACGGTTGGAGTCTGTATGCAGGGAACCATATAACTTAGGTTCCCAGTTGGCTCGCACTCGACGAAATTCATACTTTTCGGAATAACAAAGTCAATGTAAACTAAACAATAATAATCTCATATGATAATTCATTAGGTGCATATTGATTAACTGCGACTAATATCATTTTCATCCATGATTTTTCTTTCTATATGATATTGTCTTTCGAATGATTTCGAAAACTTTCAGCGAAGCTTCGATGATTTTTTACTTTTGGTTAAAATCCCAAACTAAAATTTTTCACCTTGATTGAATGCATGATTTTATGTGAATATTCGATTGAGTAACTGAAGATAGAAAGACGGTATAAGTAGGCTTAGTTCTTACGTAAGTTGAAGATGACATGAAATAAACTAAATCTTTTTATGAACAATTCGTTTGAAAAAAAAATTTCTGTCGACTTAAAATATTCACTTGAATGTGACAAAATCAATAAAAATATTGTCTTACCTGAGTAGAATTTTTATATTAACGCATTTTCAAGTACATTTTCTGATCACAATAAAATGACAAAACTTTGAAAGTGGAAAAAATTTCGTTTATTTAGTAAAATTAGTGAAATAAAATGACCGGAAAATGAATGTAAATAAAGAAACTTAATTTAAGCCAAATGTTTACGTAACAAACAATGAAAATAATTTAAAATATTAATTTACAGTTACTATCAGTTTTTATAGTCAACTAGACTATTTTCAATTTTTAGTAAAGTTTCCCTTGGAACATTTTTGACAAGTAGTACGTAAAAGAACGCTTATTCTTCATATTAACTTAACTTAAAGCCTCACTACCAATTGTTATCAGTATCGGTTAATTCATGATTGATGTTCTGACTAATATTAATAAACATTCGAACCAGTGGCTGAATAAAGGAGTGTTATTCAAATCAATTAGATTTAGAAATGATCTCTGAGTTATACAAATATAATTGCACATGAATTGTGAAAGAAATTAGAAACAAGATATAACAGTATCTGACGGATATCTGCGAGTTACAACAAATGCCTAGACATAATTATTGATCTGTATATATTTATAAATCTTAAGTATTTCGTTAATTATTTTATTAAAAGAAGCTCCAGAGTGCACTCTCAAACTCACACATACATTTCTTCATTTGCCAAGAAATGCTAAGTTCAAAGTCATGTGCTTATTAGAAAATGAATTTATTAACGAACTTATTAGAAAAAAAGAATACACTAAGTTGTATAATAAAATTCAATGAACTATTTCACCAACCTGACAGTTAAAGTGGGTGTTGTCAACCCATATTATTGAATATATCGATGATAAATTTATGAATGTTTGAAATTTACATCGAAAACACATGATGTTGAATATTTCATAACTGGATTTAAAGCAGTCAAGGTGGTTCTGTCAAGTTATCACTGAAATGTAGTCAGCTTAAAATAAATGTTTTTATTTTATAAATTTGATCAAATGACTACCTCTTAGTATTTCATAATTTTATTTTTTATATTTATATATTACTAGGGGTATTGTTTCATTTAATTGGTACTGTATATACCTATTTAAGGTATGAAGCTGTGCTTCTAAACTAACAAGAAAGCTAAGAGATGAATTATCAACATTTACGATTAGATGAATATGTGTTTTTAATATAAATTGATAGTGGCTAAGCTTTCAATAACAACCATAATCTTTAACGTCATTTCACCTGACGTAAATATAGTGAATTTTTTTTACTATATAACCCAGTACAAGTGGAACAAAGCCAATCCAAATTTTTAAGAAATATTCTGTCAATTAATTTACAATGTGCTAAGTTATTTACCCTATTCCAGTTGTATATGTTTGTTCAAACACATTGAGAACTGCAATTCGATTGGTTGAGACTGTTATATTCTAGTTCATACATAGAATTAAAGTTCATTTGTTTGTTAATTATTGTATTGTCTTAGCACAGTGATCCTGTGTATTTTCCAGGTGCTTAAGATAACACAAGTTTTAGGGCCAATATTTTTTCTGACAAACAGAAATTCAACACTCCCTCAAATATTCCCTTCTGCACTATTTATGAAATACATTTTTAAAAATAAAAGAATGGTGGAACCTGAATGTTGACTACATATGCTGTCAAAAAAATAAAAGCTCATTCCCAAACCTAAGGTCAAAATTATGCACTTTGTAACTGATTCTATATTTAAAACAAGCGTTGATTTCAGGGACTTCGATTTATTTGATAACAAAATATCAATGATTTTTTGTAAAACAGATAGATGGGGAATTTTTAAGACCCACCCTTTCTTCATTGTTAGAATTTACTGAAGATGGTTTAGTAAAACTATCTTTAAAAAACTTTAGTGACGAACTGTAAACATAATGTTGTAATTGACAGACATCAAATCGTTTTAATTTCTTTGAAAGAGAGACTGATTGGTAACTAAACATAAAGATGTTCTTGGAGAATTTTTGTAAACTGTGAAATTTTCAAGTCACCATCTTTAATTATAAAGAACAGAATGATCATCATGAAGGTCATACTATAGACATCTTACCATTTAGCCATTGAACCAGAAAATATGATGTTCGATGTATTCTAACTCTAGCCACTTGAATCTAAAGTAAGTTTATCATGAAGAACTATTTCTGATAATTAGTCTATATTTGATTTTCTTTATTAGCTATAATAGGTAAATGTTTCCTGGAACCATTTAAACACTCAAATTTCACCTCATGTAAATACTCCATAGATGAACCTCTTATTGTGCAGATCTAATATCTCTTCCCACACAACTAATACCAAAGCACAACTTTTTTTATCTAAACGTTAATTTTGAACCAATAAATTATTTCGTCTTCATAGTTGGGACACACCAGTAATTCTATAAAATCTACATAGTTTCTTCATTTTTTCTATTCGATTTCATTAGTTACTTCTACTTTGAAATGAAATTTTAGTTTATCATTCAAGTTTATTTCCACTTGCATATTTTAATTGAGGTTTGTTAGCTAAGATTAACGATAAATAGTGTGAATACCAAATTTTGACGTGTTTTATTCTCGAGAATGACAAACAAACCAAACAGGTTCAAGAGACTACTAACCATTGATAAATACAGATTACTGAAAACCTATTTTATAACGCTAAAGTCTTTGTGTAACCAGTAATTAGAAGTAAACAAAGGTAACAAACATTCCTTTATGAGTGATAAAACCATAATTCCATGTAGATAACTATACAAAGGCAGTCATATTAAATTGTTTTTGAAAACAATATTACAAGGTCTATATTATCTGGTTTATCTAATATGCCTTCATTAACAAACAGAAATCTTAAGTTCAGTTTTTGCCATAGATTAGTACCATCTGGAGAACCATTGAGAACTATGCAGCCTTTGATAAATGTTTCGTCATAGTCTAGTATTCAGGGAGCTAAGGACCTAATTCATACATTTTCAGCGGAATTGAGCTTCCTTGCTTGATGGAACTAATTTTGACTTAAAAATCTTAATGAGTATAAGGAACACACTATTCACCGAGTCTCTAAAGTAATATGTCATAAGTTGATGAGGTGTTCGATAAAAGGTCGAAAATGAATTCAAAATACATGTAGGAGATAAAAGTGAAGGAGATTAACTACGAATATTTTATACGTCCTCTTCAAATAGCCAAAATTTTATCGATTACCACATTTGATTAAAGGTAACTCAGCGAAAAATTCATATTTCAAACTGTGATTCCGTTTCTTAAAAACCACTAAAGCTGAATCCAACATCAGGTAAACACTTTGAAGAAAACAAACTAATAAACAATTTAGTCAACTTTTATCGCCTTTATAAACAATGACGATTGGTAATAAAGGTGGATTTCTCGTTCCTCATACTCTGAAGAAATGAATGACGAATAGACATGATCTACTTCATATGTAAATTTTTTACTCGTAATCTAACATTAAGTTGTTATTGATGAGTGTAAAATGTTATGTTACATGATATTCTGAATGTACTTGCATAATTAGATTTTTTAAATACTGTATTTACATTCTGTATCATTTTTAATTTCTTATGCTCATCGACGTAGGTTTGCTAGTCACTGTCTACAATCTGTGGGAAATTGGCCATAAAATTTTCTGTCCAAAGTTCATAATTCAAGGTATTTGAACTAGAGACAAATATAATCCATGTCACATATTTTTTACAAACCATTTTGATGAAGTGTGCTTCCGAGTGATGAACAGTATAGTTTATCAACGACTGTG